TAGCATGAACTTTATGGTCATGGTACAGATAAAAGACTAGGCCCGTATCTATCAACTTAACTTTTGATTATGGTGCCCCTCTCTATCAATCTTTTAATTATACGGGAAATTATAGTGCTATAACCTGTGCAAGCAAACCCGCGCAGGGACCTTAAAAATTAAAAAAAAAAGCATTATATTGTATCTGACGTCTGACGACCAGTAAAATAAATAAAATCTCTAATTATTATGCACAGATTTGTAAGAAAACGGATATGAAATTAAAATATGAATCAATCAAAAGCCTTGCTTTGACTCTGTGTTTGAATGGAACATGACCATAAATTAACATAATGCGTTTAGGCAACATGACCTCGTCGGTGTATTATACAAATTGTTACATATTTCAATTAATTAATTTAGAATATACATACAAATGTAAGTAAAGCGTTTTTGAAGTCAAGAATAAATCTTTTCACTTGACATTTGTACGTATAATTTAGTGTCCCAAGAGTTCGTGTGCATAATTTTGACAAATTACTATTTAGCAACCGTTCAAAATGATGACCAAATAAACTATCTATTTCCATTTTGAAGTAACGTGACCATACGTCTCGCTTTGAGGGGGACAGTCCTGCTTTTAAGCCTCGTGTCCCGCTGTTCCCAAAATTCTTAAAAATGTCCCGTTGACGAAACAGGACACACGTGACAATAAATTTAAAATAATATATATAAAGCTAAAGCATATCAGACTAGGAAATGAAACTATTTTTCCGGATTTAAATCGCGTATACGGTTGTCAACCGTGACCATGGGACCTGTAAAGGGCCCGAAACGTCGGTTTGTTTGAAAAAACAAATATACGCGATTTAAATCCGGAAAAATAGTTTCATTTCCTATGTGTAACAATCGCGAAAACCTAAGAACTCGACATATCAGACTACACAAAATTTAATTTCTTCTTTAAAATTTTCATTCAACATTTCTTTTATGTTTTGCTTTAATCATTAGGTACACATTTTATAACTATCGTAAATATGTGCTTTATTTTTAAAACAATTATTAATTTACTGGCGTTCCGCTCGAAGGGAAACGTATAATGGTCACGTTATGACGTATGCGGTAAACTGGTGAAATTACAGGCACATGGGACTTGTAAACTTATGTCTGAGAGTGACCGACGCAGTGGCAGTGTCCCTCAGGTCTTTGCGATTTATGGCTCTAAGTGGCACTGCGATTGTTAATGACAGGCGTGTCGCTTACCACCAGGCGCATGACTTGTTCTTTGACTATATATATATCAGGTTACCATGCTGAACTGCCACGCAGAGGGTTCGATTCCCGGGCCGGGAGAAATATTTGTATGGCCTACATTTATTTATCTCGTGAGTATGGGTATAATTTGTGGTTGTCTACCTATGAGTGTTCATGGCATCCGCGATACCCTAGTTTCCCTAGTGCGTCGTTTTTATCGTTATATACATTGTAAATGTGTACTTTTTTAAATAAACGATATTTGTTTATGTTTCATATATATGTATTAATTGGTCCGTCTGTATTAGTTGAGCTACGGATAAATTATAAATGAACTGCATTCAAGGTAAGTAACACTATCTATCATTATGTATACTAAATGAATATTTGATAATCAAAAATAATGTTTAAACCTCGTTTTTCATATAGGACAAGTTGCGCCCTCCATTCAATAGGCTAGGTTAGCATTTGAGAAACCAGAAACGAATTTACTTGCGTTTCCGAACACGGTTTTAGGCTTTTTAATGCTCATTTCTCTTAATTTTGGGGCTCAACATAAAACTAGCAGGGTTAATTTATAAAAATCAAACATTAATTCAAAACAGATTAAAATACACACTGATTTAAGTTATTTTATGTCTCAGAGAAAAAGGATCAATCGTTAATCAGTAGGTACATAGTAATAAAAAACCGACCTCGAAAGTCATTCATCCCCTAGTTTGCCACCCTTAGAGGTGGAATATTTTGTTCAAATTCAACATCTGAGGTACCCTCTTTCCAAGAAAATAAGAATCATTGAAATTAACGGAGTAAACGCGTAACATACGTACAAAAAAAACATACAGACGAATTGAAAACCTTCTTTTTTGAAGTAAGTTAAAAAAAGATGACAGTTTAGATTTTTTGCCTGTATGTTATACCACTTTTGTGCTGATAGCATCAAATATATCCTGAAGTTATGACCAAGGTACACATGTAGTGGTGACGGGCTGACAGATAGTTTTACAAATACCTGTTAAATTGATTTAAAGCGTTTATCCTCGTAAATAACATTCTCCGGTTCGCAGGTTTCATCATGACCCGTTCTAAAGACACGAATAATAATATTATGTTGTAATATAATATTTCAAAGTTTACCTTTTGGTAAGGCATCAATCACGGCATTCACAAATAAACATCTATAGCTTTAATGTCACGGGTAAGTGTATTTTCAAAGTAGACATAATTAAGTTTCGCAAAAATGAGAATATTGTAATTGAACTTGCATTGTGTTTAATTGTGATGATCACTCATCGTAATGGTTTTACGTCATCACTTTATGAGAATCATAAATAAATTTAGTAGCATTACACCTCGTACTGAAAGAGTGTGCCGCCAAGCAGTAAAGCATTACTGCGTTTCAATTTCGAAGGGCACATGGGACTTGTCAACTTATGTCTCAGGGAGTCGAGTGCCCCTCAGATCTTTGTGATTTAAAGTTCTGAGTGACACTACAACTGTTATGGAAAGGCGTGTCGTTTACCACCAGGCGCACGACTTGTTCGTTCCGTCACTTAGATTTATAAAAAAAATGCCGCCAGGCAGTAATGTTAACTGCGGCGCCGGTATTAGCCCATGTAGCCCGGGCGCAATCGACAGGAAATTAAAATAATAAAACATAATTTAAAGATAATTTTATTTTAAATGATTCTATTTTGCCAAATGGTTACCTGCGTGCTGCTTTTAGTTCAAATAGGAATCGATTCGACCGGATAGTCACGAAATCAGATGTGTTTCTGAGCGCGAAGATGAACCTGAGTCCTACTATATCTTTCTAATTTGTGAGGTAAATCAACTGTTGTTCCGATTTGAAATGTCAAATCTCCGATCGGCCAGTTGGGAATCGCAATTATGCGCCTCGACTCGGAAAATGCAGTTACCGATCGGGAGAGGCAATCAAAATCAAGCTGCTGTTATGTAACATTTTGAGATATTATTCAATAACTCCGTTTGGATTTTAATAATTTCACAAAAAGAAAGTGTGACGTTATCTGTGCCACACAACCAACCTTAAAAAAAGATGAGGTTCTCAACGCGACTGTATTTTTTTTTTTTTCGTATGTATGTTACACGATAACTCCGGCTTTGTGAACCGATTTTGATGATTAATAAAAATTAGTTTCTTAAAATAGTCTATATTTTCGAAAAAAATTTAACATGTAGGTATTAGACATGAGCGCCGCGTTTTCCTCGCGCCGCCGCCGCAACAACAAAACAACACATTATTTTATTTTTTCCTTTGAAGAAGTAGTTTTATAAAAATATTTTGTGAAAACAAACACCATTATACAAATTTATTTACACACTTTTTCATCAGCGCGCCTCCGCCGGTTGATCTATTATCGGCGCTCATATCTACTCTGTACTGAGATTATTTTATTTTGTATATTACATATAAATAAATAAATATTAGACAACATTACATACGTTGCTCTGATTCCAAAGTAAGTAACTAAAGCACTTGGGTTATGGAAATCGGAAACTACTACAAACACCCAGACCCGTGACAATACAAAATTAGTTTCTACACTGACCCGACCGGGGATCGAACCCGGGACCTCAGAGATGGCGACTCCATGAAAATTGTTATCGTAGCTTCCTTTACATTTTTTTTATTTAGATTATGTCGTAATGAAATATTTTTTTCTTATCTTGCAACGCACAACGTCTTTTTCGCTCACAGTGGCAGTAGCAGCGCCCATTAACCCTAACATAAGTTTACAAGTCCCAACGTGCCGGTAATTTCACCAGCACCCTTACAAAACCGGAACAGGTCCCTGGACATTGCTACATTACGCAACTGACATGAAGTTCATTATGATAGGGTATAAAGATTCACTTTCATTTAGTACGACGACAATGTAAATTAAGTCTTATTCATTTGTCATTTTGTTCTAGGTTCTAGCGCTAGCATCGCTCTCATCGTGTCAAAGTCAAGACGCAATAGTTAGGAATGACTTCGAAGGACCTAATCCAGATGGATCTTACAAATGGGCAATACAGACAGGTAAGGTAATAAATAGTTACTTATTTGTTGTGCAACGCTGCAAAGTTGTTGTTTGAAGCGAGTGGTTGTATTGAAACCTGAGTAAGCGAAGGAACCTAACATTGAAAAATAGATTCCTGAGCGTAGCGAGGGTTTCAAGGCACGAGACGCAAAACAATTTTGCTCCCGAGCGAAACTTTTCACCTCACTACAGCGAGGAAAATGGTAGATGAAAGAAACAGTTGAACTATAAAACATCATAGGAAATGAAACTATTTTTTTTTTGCTGTCAACCGTGACCATGGGACCTGTAAAGGGCCCGAAACGTCGGTTTGTTTGAAAATAGTTTCATTTCCTATGTATAACAATCGCGAAAACCTAAGAACTCGATATATAAAACATCATTTTTTTTTGTTTTAAATAATGGCACCAGAATACTTTGTGCCAACTTCAAAGTAAATGGTTAGGAAACGGATGGGAGGAAAACCAAAAAGGAAAGGCAACATTATCATGAGAACAAGTTTGGAAGGAATTAATATATATATAAGAAATATTATAACTTGAAATATATACATAAATTAAATAGAAGGACTAAATTTTTATATTCGCCGTTTATTCGAAGCCTCTAAGGAGAAAGAAAGCCTTTCCGAGCTAGTGAGGTGAAAAATATATATGACCGGATTAACTCTGATGGAGAAATTGCGGAACAGATAAGGGAGACACTATACTCATTGATATCGCCTTGAGACTGTGATAAGCCGCTTTAGTCCATGTTATAAAAGCGAAAAAGGCAACATGAGCTTCGCGTTAAATTTTTAGAAAATATACAGTGTGTTTTTTTAACTGGGACAGTATTTGAAAATCTGAAACTTTAGGAGATACCGGGAAACTGCCTTAGGAACCATTAAGTGTTTTTTTTTAAACAATAAAAATGTCCATAAAAATGTACCAAATTGATTGTTTTTCTTAATGCTCATCGACTCAGCTCCATGTAAGGAACATTTCATTGTGTTGGAAGAGAAAATTGGGACAGTACAAGTTGGCCAAATCCAATAAAATGTTTTTTTCATACAGAATGAATAAAATTTACTATTTCTTTTTAATGCTGACAGATTCAGTTTCTTATAAGGATAATTTCATTGTATAGAACGAAAAGATCGGGTCAGCAGAAGTCGGGCAAATGTAATAAAAAGCCTCTTTTGTACAATATGAATAACATTTTATTCATCATTCATCTGCTGGTGGAATTCCAGCACATAGGACTTGTCAACGTATGTCTCAGAGTGACGATGACGGGGGCAGCGGCAGTGCCCCTCACACCTTTGCGATTTAAAACTCTGAGTGGCACTGCAACACTACTTGTTCGTCCCGGTATTTTGTATCATAAAAAATATGATATAAAAAAAATTCAAGCATTTGCGGTATGTAGATGTTGAACGAGACTGATTATTGTATTTTGGTGTTGCAGAGGGTGGTGTCTTCCACGAGCAACGCGGCGGCTTAGAACCAAGCTCCAGTGGCGAGCCAGCGCTCGTCGTCGAAGGACAGTACCAGTACGTTGCACCGGATGGGCAAGTGAGCAACTAAACCTAGAGAATTTGTGAAATAGCTAGAATTCATGGCCACAGCTTCGAATTGTAGTACGAACCTATTATTTCGTACCTTTAGTATAATAAATCCACATGTGGACATATTTTTAAAACAATTAGTACATTATTGCAGAGCCCGAGAATTAAGGGATTGCTGGACGAGTATATGAGTTACAAGGACGAGTGCCAAAAAATAATAAAAGACTAAAGACAGGAAGACGTTTAATAGAAAAAGTTAAAAACAAACAATATTAAAAGTAATATTTTCGACGTGTTACGATAATTGCTAAAAGAAAATATTATTGTTTTTCCAGGCACATCAATAGTAGTCTGCTGAACTTATGACGATGTGTTTGAATGTATGTCTATACTGTATCTACTATACTATACTAGACTGTATTTTCGTTATCACTCTTCTCACTAGTACTCATTTTCGCGACTAAAATACAAAAAAGATGAAAAAAAAACAAAAGAATACCAAAACACTTTAGCTTAAGTGTTGCCGCCATTTTCTTTTTTTAAGTAAGCGGTATTCTCGCAATTATGAACACTGGGCAGTTGACTGTATGCATTCTTATTTTGCCTGTATACATAGTTCATCATTAGTAGGTAGATTCCATTGACTTACAATTATATGGACGTCGGGTCCGCGCTAAAAAGTGTCCGAACTTATAGGGCGTTAAAATCGTATACAGAGCGTCATTCACGCTTTAGTCTTCGTTTGTTTGACTGACAGCGAAGCAAGCAAAATTAGACAGTACTGTGATGACATTACAATTTAAAAGCTTTTTCATATTTACATGTCACTACGTTTAAATAGGTTGACTTGGGACATTTTTTTCGTGGTTTTTGTATTAGACCCATCGTCCATTTATTTGTAAGTCAATGGTAGATTCGAAAGTTTAGAGAAGTGGACAATTACGGATTTTCATACTTACCTTGCAGTCTTTGGCCGAGAAGATGTCGCACGGTCCATAAATGACAAACTTAAAATAACGCAAACATTTCCGAGCATGTTTGAGAAAAATAAATTTACAGGCGTCCCGCTCTGAGGGAAAAATAATGGTCACATTAACCAATGGTGTGGTATTGCTAATGTTGTATGTTGAGATTACAATCACCAGCGAAAGCGGAATCTTATGTTTTTGCTACACTAACTTATTTCCCATCTCTTTCAGACGATAAACGTCCTTTACAAAGCGGACGAGAACGGCTTCCAACCTACCGGCGATCATCTGCCCACCCCGCCACCAATACCTCCAGCAATCGCTCGCGCGCTCGCCTATCTAGCCACCAAACCACCGCCAACGGATTCTGATTATTAAATTACCTCACGTGTTCTATGTTACTTAACATGGATCCCGTGCATTTCCAGCAATTCCATGTTATGCCGTCGTCCATCTCACACACTCGGCAGTAAGTTTCCGCCTAAAATCTGAAGTGTAAAGAGTGGGAGCCTGGAGTTCTGGCCCAACATCCGTCCAAAACAATTATTGAGAAATAATTAATACTCGAGCAAATTAAAAGGCGCGTGATGCGAATGAAGCGTCTCACGTGATATTGTGTTTTGATTTGGTCGAGTATTACGGACAGAGAACGAGAGTAGCCCCCTGTACCATCGAGTATATAACCAGACATTGAAGACGAAATAAGGGCCAGACATTCCTGGTAACTCATCAGTGATACATCACTTATAAAAATATCAACTCTCGTTTGCACTGAAATGTAGACAGCGCCAACAACTGACCTGTGTGTACGTCTCCGTATATTCCAAAAATATTCTGTAATAAACATTGACTTACAATTATATGGACGTCGGGTCCGCGCTAAAAAGTGTCCGCACTTGTAAGGCGCTAAAATCGTATACAGAGCGCGACACTCCGCTTTAGTCTTCATTTGTTCTACGGACAGCGCGATACTGCGATGACATAACAATTTAAATTTCGAATAGGTTGACTTGGGACATTTTTTTCGTGGTTTTTGTATTAGACCCGTCGTCCATTTATTTGTAAGTCAATGGTAATAAAGATAATATATTTAACAATGGCGTACTGTTCCATTCAGTGGAGTGGGGAAAAACAGCAAAACGTCTAATTACAAAACAAACGGAATCATATTTCATCGATAATTAAATATGTAATTTTTAATTTTTTGTCCATTATAGCAAAACTCAAGTTAACTGGTCGATTTTAAGTGAAACCGTCAATTGTTTCGTATTCGGGCTGGCCAATCGGAGCGCAGTTGTCACAGTAATGATATGGCAGAATAGTTTTCAAACAAATTAAATGACATTTCGTCTCTATTTCTGGTTATATACTCGATGCCCTGTACACAGGTCTAGTAAGGCGCCGCGCAAACGTGTGCTTTGTGTTGGATATTGTTTGACCGCAATTGTGCCTACGGCAGCATCCTGATCATTGCAGGAACGGTTTTTTGCAGGATCCAGTTTACGAACATGTTTTAGTACAAGCATTCACAACTGCACCACGTTTACAGGATCCTCCAACGTTCGTTAGTACACTGCAAAAACCGTTCGGCATGAATGGGCCTTAAGACACATCCTAACTACTACCACCTATACCACCACTACAAAGTAGATTTATTTTAATTGTACTCGCAGATGGAAATCGAGATCAAAAATGTAAACAAAGATTTGAAAGTTCTAAAAATGCATTTTTTTGTTTTGCTTAAATTGTGATCATGTACATACGAACAAAATATTATCTAAACTTTTTTAAACACTGTATTTTATAACAAAAGTATATAAAAAGTGATTCTTGTGGTTTTTTTTATCCTTATGAATAATGGTTTCGGATATACAAAACCTTTGGCGGCCCTTTTTTTCGATCCTATACATCATGTAACAAAGCGTTTTATTATTGCAAATAGGTTGGTGTAATAAACAATAATAGTTATTAAGGTTCTTAATAAAAAATAGACATACTCGCCAAATCAACAGTAAAATCTGTATGAATAGTTTTATTACAACGAACCAAAAAAAATGTTTACGACCTGTGACAGCGACAGTTGTTTGTTTACATTTTTTTTCTTAAATTCCATAATTATTAGGGATAATTATTTGTAGTTTATTACGGCGCAGAACTATACACGCTTTTCTGCGTCACTATTGTAGCCGCTATTAAATCTTCAAGCGTGCAGGTGTTAGCCGTGTTAGCGTGTTAAGTCAAGATGTGAGATGGGCAATTGTTTAAATAGCACGGCACAAACATCTCGAATTAGAACCATCCGAAAATCCCCACCTTACAAGACCAACAGAGCTCCTTGTGAAAAGTTCGGCCAGGGAAGTACGTACTGCCTATTTCGGCCGTCATTACTATTTCTGCCGCCAGGTGAAACTACATCAAATTTTCGCCGCATTAGAATGAAGACCTCAATTACTTATTTTTACACAGTTTATTTTTACTGTTTTTTCTTGAAGCAATACTTGTAAAGGTCTTGGTTTCATATATTATTAAAGTAATTATATGATTATCACTAATTACAGGTTTCTTACCAACGGTTGACTCAGTCAACCTGTGGCCATGGAGCGTGTAATCGTGCCGATATATCGAAAAAAAATGTTTTTTTTGTATTAAGAAAAATATTCTTTTTTATGAAAAAAAGTGACAGACATAACATTAATACGAGGAATAAATGTAAACTAGTTGTTCTTTAAAGTCGTCTTTATAAAGTCTTAAATTCATTTAAGGGACAATGTCTACGCTTCTATAATAAGATTCCGATTGATATTAAAAAGCCATTTACGAGATTTATAACTATTGTGAAACAAAAACTTTATACTAAAGGTTTATTGTACAATTCTGCGTACTTGAATGACAAGAATCCGTGGTAGTGACCCGTTTAGCTCATTCATGTATTCTCGATCTAAGATGTTTAAATTAAATATTGTAATAATAAATATATTCAAATGCATATTTACAAAGAGCAACTCCTAGAGTTTCTTACTCAGAATGAGCGTGCAAGCGAGTGTCTCGTGAATAGTCCTGCCTGCGCGTACGCGACAGATCTTTGCGCAAGCGAAAGACGCAAGTCAAAGACTCTTGAACCTATGCACGCAGCGTATTTTTCACACAGACGACGCCCGTTAACCCTTTGACCGCCAACTTCTAGTAGATTAGTCTTGCATTAACTTGGCTTAATTGTATATTCTAGTTAAGTATGGATTCATAGTTACATTTTATATTCAGTTATGTTCTTTGACTTGGGAGAATTGAATTTAAGGTGGAAATTCATAACAAGTCACATCACTATATCGTCGGTGTTTTGTAGAAACGGCGAAAGCGCCATTTCGAAATTTTTTGAGTGAAGCATGTTTTCATATTTCATGACTGTTTCAAGATATCTGCGTCCTGTTTTAAATTAAATTTTAAAATAATTATTAATACAAATCGAAATACTTAGAAAAGATTCCTTCGATCCACCGGTAAACCACTTAATTACAGTGAATAACGGCATCTCTAGCCAGAGTTGGCAGCTGTAAAGGTGCCTAACTGGGTGACGAAATAATTTTATGGGTTTCTCATGGATGGCGCTGCGGCTAAAAAGTCGTTACAAACCAGATACAAAGGTCTAACAAGCACATAGAAAAATTCGTGAGGTCGGCTGGTTCGTTCGGTGGCTTAGGTGACACATAGATCTGACATACCGTCTGGCACGGTTTGCTAGAAGACGTCGGTTCGAATCCGGCCGGATCGAAGGAATTTTTTCTAAATGTTCTCTTTGTCTCTTTCTTTCTTATCTTCTATAATCTTTGTATTAATAATTATAACAAACTAGTGGAGTAATTTCATAAAAAATAATTGAATAGCATAGTGACGAAATATCCAGACATTCAATAAAACACATAGGGACGTATTCCAGAACTCTACTCAATGCTCAAGTCAGGATTTGAGTATGGTTTAAAGCACTCGAAATCGTACTCAAGTCCCTACCATTAGGGTCGTATGTCCAGTGCTTGTGTTTCCAGTGCAATCCTGACTTGAGCATTGAGTAGAGTTCTAGAATACGACCCTTAATTTCAATTTTAAAACTTAAACTCAACTAAAACCTTAAAAAATTTTAAAAGAGGACCTAAATATTTTAAAACAGTTTTTCAGAATGACGTTTTCGCCATTTCTACAAAACATTGACGATATAGGCTTCACGTCTAGGGAACGAAACTAGTTTATGTTAGTCTAAAGGTTGACGCAAATTCAAACACGCCGATTCACAAATTTAGTCTACTTATGCGCTATGCCGTAAATACCGCGGGATCCCACTCAGTCTACATGCGGGAATAAACCCGCAAAATTTGTGCATGATCCCGCTATCCCAGTATTGCATTCCCCTAGGTACGGTCTATCATTTACAAACTATTCTATCGCAGGGACTATCACTGCCCATTAGATGTAGTTCTTATGTTAATATCTCTACATAAGTAAGTTGCTAGTCCTTATATTCTATTTTTGTCTATTGCATAATTAATTAAGCTATACAAATACTTTGTTAGGCTGCAAATTTGTACTCTATTTAAATAACGTAATGTAGGTACCTGCCTAGGTTTTAAAACATTTCCTTTGACAAAATGTAATCTTGAGACTCATCGTAGACACTTTATTTAAAAATTATGCATAACCATCTACCCACATTAGCAAGCGGTATTTCATAAGTTAGTTCAGAAAATAATTTTAGCCCATGGTATTTGAATAATATTACAATATCAAGCTTTAACATGTATTCCGATTATATATCTTATTACCTACTCATTTACCACATCGTTTTTCATGCAAATCCCCTACCTTTTTCATAATCTGTTTCCCTAAACTTTTGATTGACTAAAACCTAAGGCAATGCCCTTTTAAAAAAAATAATAATAAAGGAAAAATAACTGACCACCTATTTCTTAATAAAAAGGAATTCATTGATGTCCACGATCATTTACCTAATATAAACTACTTCCTTGGAAGTAAAAATAAACCTCTACTTATGAGAAGTATAATAAATATTTTAATTTACGAAACTGGTTTTATTTCATAAAAACAATCTTTGCGATTCAAAGCTCTGCGTGACACTGCAACTGTAAGTGCCCAGTTACGCGAAAGTTTTCGTACGGCCGCCGGGTTACCACGCTTTCACGTACATTAATGGCGAATCTGAATTCTATTTACTAGGCAACAACATTTAAATTCAAAGACCAAAGACAAGCCAGTCTCACCCGCGCGCCCCCGGGATGCTCATTTAAGTTAAAACGTAAAATTAAATAAATAGAGCGTACTTTGCCATGACAGTTAGATGCGCGCGGCGACCACGCGGCGTGAATGCGATGACATTCGTATCGAATAAATGCGCCCTGATGGACAGGGCGTTGCCACCAAGCGCAGGACTTGTTAGATCCGTCCCTTGTATAATAAAAAAATAAATAACAATTCTAGTTTTATCTTATACGCCATGTGAAACGCAAGAATTTAAAATAGACGTCCAAAATAAACAATTAACTTCGCCGCAGAACAAAACTTGTTTATTTATAGGATTGCTGTTAAAAATGGTAAAAGAAACACACATCTCTATAAATTGTAAATTTTTATTATAGATGAAAC